CTCCCAGGATGATGGAAGTGGTTTCCTCCATGTGGATGTTCTGCCTGTGCATAAAGCTAAAAACAATGAGTGTCCCCAAATAACATACATACATACATACATACAAACAGTGTGGCTGTCCAGTTCTGTACTGAAACTTGGAAACTGTGAGCCCAAATAAACCTTCTCTCTATGTTGATTATAAGTCTCAGACATTTTTCTAGAGTTTCAAAACATCTCTAGTGCGCCACCACTGCCCAGCGTCAAGTTGGTTTTGAATTCCCTATCCTCCTGCCTCGGCCTCCTGAATGCTGGGATTGTAGGAGTGAACTGTCCAAGGTTGTTTTATTTATTTATTTATTTATTTTTGGAGGGTGTTGATGCAAATGTACTGAAACTGATTGTGGTGGTGGGTGATTAACTCTTGAACATATTGCAAACTATGGGCTTGTATATTTTCAGTGGTTCAGTTATGTGTATATGAATTCTGTTGTATTACAACTGTTTTAGTTCCAGATTAGCCTAGAACCTAGACTTGTAACAACTAGCCCCAAATGGGAGTATTCTCCTTGAGTGCTTGAGAACTGAAGAGAACTGGCACAATCCTCCTGTCTCCGCTTACTTTGAGATCCTTGGCTTGATCCCATCCTTCCTCACAAAGTCACAGTGGTTCTGGGGAGTAGGATGTGGACATACTTGGGAGCCACTTTTCAGTCCACCATATTGAATGGCCTGGCTCTCTGCTAGGCATTCATTCAAGTCTGTGAATTAGTCTTTCAGCAGGGGAGTGTTGTATTCCAATTGTGCGGTTGAGGAACTGAGGTTTGGAATGTGTCTTAGACAAAGTTGTTCAGCTTGTGGATGGCGGAACTGGGGTTGAGCTCGAAGTCTAGGCAGCTGGGCGGCTCCTGCCCACCACAGTGCAAAGCATGCTCTGTGCCCTGATTTATGTGGGGAACTTCAGAACAAACTTCAGGTGTGGTGGCTCAGGCCTGTAATCCCAGTACTTGAGAGGCTGAAACAGGAGGATTGTCATGAGTACGAGGTCAACCTGAGCTATAGTGTGAGAGTGTACTTCAGATAAACACTAGACAAAATAGGCCCTAGGCAGAGCCTCTGGTTCCAGCGGCTCAGGAGACTGAGGCTAGAGAACTGAGAACAGCCTGAGTCAATACAGTGCAGCTGACTAGAAATTGGTAAAATGGATGGATTGTTCTGAATAGGGAATATTCCCAATGTCCAGACTCAGAACCTGTTAATGGATATCAAATGTAAAAGCTCTCCTCTTTCCCTAATTCCCAGCCACTTAGTTTCTTTCTCTGGTGGCGACCAGTACCATCCAGTGATGAAAAGAATCTTGGTAGGCCTCTTCTGTCTGTCTGTTCGTTTGTTTACTTATTTATTTATTTATTTATTGAAGAGTCCAAACCTGGCCCCAACTGGATCTCTTTAGAGTTTACTCTCTCCAACTTCAAGGCTTCAGCCAGGTGTCAGCTGTTGGGAGGGAGGAGTGGGAGGGGTCAGGCCAGGGATGGGACTGAGAGGGAACCTCTGAAGGCTCTTTGAGTGTTTTATTGTTACTTTAATTAATTGGTTTTGGAGAGAAGATCTAATGTATCCCAGGCTGATACTGAACGTACTGTGTAACTGAGGATGACCTCAGACTTCTGATCCTCCTGCCTCGCCATCATTCACCACCACAATGGCTTATGCAATGCTGGGGATGGAGTCCAGGGCTTTATACATGCTAGGCAAGCACTATAGCAACTGAGCTACATCTTATATCCCTAGCCATGTTTATTAATTTTTTTATACTGCAGAGAATCAAGTCTAAGGTCTTGCTTGTACCATTCAGGTGCTCTGCTCTGAGCTTCAGTCCAGCCCAGGGACCTTTGCATTGTGCGCGCTGTTCTCATGCATCGCTTGCATTATGATTTTAAAGACTTCATTTTATTAATGTGTGTACAGTGTGAGGGGCGTTGGTGACAGAGTGTGCATGGAGGTCAGAGGACAACTTTGTGGGATTTGTGTTCCTCTTCTGCCTTTATGTGGGTCCAGGAACTGAACTCATTGTTCATCTTTATTGCCTCTCTGTTTTCATTAGTACCCACTGCAGAGCGTAGCTTCAAGGACACAGTAAAGAGATGACTATGTGGCCCTTACTATCACTTTTGTCATGAGTTAGAAGGACAAGGGACTAGGTAATTGCCTCATGATGTTCTTACCTGTGATACCTTTTAACCACATGTCTTTCCTTCAGCAAAAAGGAATTGGGATGAACGAGCCGCTGGTGGACTGTGAAGGCTATCCCCGGGCAGATGTGGACTTGTACCAGGTTCGAACAGCAAGGCACAACATCATCTGTGAGTGGCCCTTGCTGGGCTCTGGCTCGGCCTGTGCTGGGGGCTGAGGACTCGGGAAGAACTAGTGCTGAGCATTACAAAGTTTTTCTGCTGTGACAAAATAGCTTGTTACCCTTGCGTGACTGAGAACCAAGGGAACAGGGTAGACTGAAGAGTTCTATGTAAATGGTTTTATTTTTCTATTTTAAGTACTTTGCTTCAAAGCCTGCTATGGTGGTGCACACCTTTAATCCCAGCACTCAGGAGGCAGAAACAGGCAGATCTTTGTGACGTCAAGGCCAGTCTGGCCTACAGGGCTAGTTCCATGACAGCAGTCTGTAGAGAGACCCTGTCTAAAACAAACAAACAAACCCAAAATACAAAAATCAAAACCTTGGTTTCAAGCTGTGTGAGGTGGTACCCAGCTGTAATGATCAGGAGTTGAGGCCAGTCTGGGCTGCACAAGAAAGCAAAAAGCAAGGAACAGAACTTTACTTCATTATGGGAGGTTTATTGAAGTAACAGTGGAAGCCCATACCAGTATTGCTTACCAGCTCCATCAACTCCACGAAGATTAGATTTAGCTTCTTAGGGTAGTGACCTGACTCCCACCATTCAAACAGAAAAGACCTGGACTGGCGCTCAGCAGGGACCCTTGAAGTATGCATGCAATCCAAGGGTCAGCAGAAATCAGTCTCTGCCTCTTCTTCAGGGCCCACAGGCTGTGTTCCAGCCAGGAGGCAGGTGACAGAAGGAAGGGTACTGGCACTCTACCTTCACCTCTTTGTGTCAGTTAACATTTTCCTCTCACAGTCCCTCTGCCTGCCAGGAAAGCTGGGCAGACCTGTTCCACTGCAGGCCATCCTGTCCTCAGTGAGTCTTCTGTGCATGGCGCCTGGAGAGGATACTAGGTTTGTGTCTCTGCCATGACAAGCTGCAGACACATGCTATCTCTGACTGTTCTGGAGGTGAGACGTCCAGATGGTCTCACTGACAAAATCAAGGTGTCAGCAGGGCTGGCTCCCCCTAGACTGGGGGCAGGGTGTATTTTTTTGTCTTTTCTGAGGCCACCTGTGTCTCCTGGCGCTCGGCCATCCTCTTTCTTTAGAAGTAGTGACCACATCTTTCTAGCCTTTGGTCTGTTATCTCATCTTTTTCTGTGGTCCTCCTGCCTCCCTCTAACTTGTTAAGACTCTGTGATGATATCAGGTCCTCCTGGCTCAACCCTCCTCTCAAGATCCTTAATTATACCTGACCTGCACGCTTTGTTTTGTTTCATGAGGTCACATGTGCCCCTGCTTTGGGGATGAGGATGTGAGCATCTTTTACTTACTTGGCACTGGTAGATAACCAGTTCTCCATTTCAGTTACACCAGGAGATTAATCACCCGCCATTTGCACTTAATGATTTCCATTGAATGCACCCCAGCTCTGGCTTCATCTGCAGAGTGTTTTGGTAATGAGGCCTTCTTCATAAAACTAGGATACAGAGAAAGATGCAAGGTTCCTTCAAGCCACAGTGTGATGATTGAGCACCTCAGAGCATCCTCTTTACCCTGAATATTCTGGTTTCAAGAAGGCTAAGTTTACATTAAAACAACAGGAAATGCCAAAAACAGGAAAACCACCCTAAGACAGCCAGGTGTGAGGCAAATTCTGGGCTTTACTCTAGACCTCTAAGCCCCAAGTGATGTGGCCCACTCCCACATTATTGGCAGGACCTTGGGAAAGTTTGAGGAATGTAAATTTTTATTCAAATAATTAACTTCATGTTTTAACACCATTCTTTTCCCATTGACTTGAAATGCATCAGTGTGCGTGTGTGCATGCTTGTGCCTCTGCGTTGCTGGGGGTGGAACATAGGACCTCATGCTGAGTACTTACTGTACCATTGAACTACACCCCAACCCCAGCGTAGGTTTTCAGCTATGCTTAGCCTATTTCTGGACTTTGTACACTGTTCTACTCTCTGTGTTAATTTTATATCATCTTAATGACTTTATTATGTGTTAAGAACATGGTTGAACAATTCCCTCTTATTAGCATTCTCTTGAGAAACTATTCTCACGTGTTATTGTACTCTTAAACAGGGACTTTTCCTGAACTTACATTGAAATTGGGAAAGTAATGCAGAGAGGTCTCATATGCTCTGTCCCCAGTTTCCCCTGGTCACCAGTGAGTGTTAGTTAGCACGGTACATTTATGGCAGCTTAGACTTGGTTTTGAAATAATTGCTGCAGAAGCATTTACCCAGGAGATGAAAGCCTTTTGAATTCTGAAGTGGAGCTGTAATGTGTTAGCGACCAAGTCATCCCTCCTCCCCTACAGCTGCGTGGTGGGTATAGATTATGCAGGCAATTCTGGAGATTCTGGGGCTCCCTGTGGCCTCTACTGCTCAATGTGGCTTTTCTAGTCATGGTGACCATCTATGACATTGATTCTGCTTTAAACCTTCCTGATCTGGAGTCTAGTTTTTGTTTTTTCTCACATTTGCTTCTGTGGGCTGAGTCCCCAAGTCCTGTAATGCCTGAGGGTCTCATCTTTGCTCTACAGTGACAAACCAGGTTTGGTAACCAAACAACCTACGGTCAAAGCTCCTGCAGGGATGGAGAGTCTGTGACCCGTGGATACCAGGTGTGGGTTGGCAAACGGAGTGACAGTACCAGGCTGTCTTTGAGACTACAAATGATGTGAGATGCCAGCTGCATGCAGGACTGGCTTCCAGGCAGGACCTGATGGACTGCATGGTGGTTCTCCATTTAATTTCAGTGTTTATTTATATGTATGCCTGTTTTGCCTGCTTTCCTACAGCATGTGTTCCAGGGGCCTGCAAAAGCCGGAAGAGCGCAGAGACCCCCTGGGACCAGAGTTACAGAAGGCTGTGAGCATCTATGTGGGTGCTGGCATTGGACCTGGGTCCCTTGAAAGAGCAGCCCGTACTCCTAACTGCTGGCCCATCTCTCCAGCCCCTAGTTAAACATTATGAACTAGTGTTTAACACTGAAAAATTAGAGGCTGTTCTCCCATCAAAGCCCTCAGTTTTTGACCTTTCTAGAAAATCAAAGCTTTGGTGGCTCTGGATTTGTCTCTCGAGCCTGGTAGTAGTTGCCTGCCCCATACTGAATTATTAGGGTCTTATGTCTTCTTTTTTTTTTTTTTTTTTCTGTACAGGATTTAGAGGCTGAAGGGATAGCTCAGTGGTTAAGAGTACTGGCTGCTCTTCTAGAGGGCCTGAGTTCAATTCCCAACACCCATATGGTAATTTGCAATCATCTATAACTGTAGTTGCAGGGGCTCCAATGCTTTCTTCTGGTGTGCAAATGTACATACAGACAAAGCACCCATATACATAAAGTACATAAATAAAAAGAAAGTTGTTTTACTTGTTTGAGACAAGCTTTTATGTACCCAGGCTAGCCGTAACCTCAATATTTAGCTGAGCATGGCCTTGAAGTTTTGATCCTTCTGTTTCCACCTCCTGAGTTCCTGAGTGCTGGGATTGCAGGCATGTCCTACCATGCCTGGATAATGCTGTGCTGGGACTCGAACCCCAGGGTCTCATGGGTGCTTACAGGCACTCTGCCAGTGGAGCTCCACCCCCCCGTCCCAGAGTCTCATGGGTGCTCACACTCTGCCAATAGAGCTCCCCTCCAGCCCCAGGGGTTCATGGGTGCTCACAGACACTCTGCCAGTGGAGCTCCACCCCTGCCCCAGGGTCTTATGGGTGCTCACACTCTGCCAATGGAACTTCACTCCCACCCCTTTCAGCAACTGTTCAGCCTCGCTGTTTTGTTTCTTGAGACAGGGTGTCAGACAGGGTGTCATGCACCCTACTCTGGCCTCCTGATCCTCCTGCCTCTGTCTCCAGGCGTTGGGATTGCAGACGTTGCATCTTGCCTCTCCGCTACCTCACTTCTGTCTGACTTCTGCCATTGTCCCTGTTTATGGCATGGTTGCAACTGGATGTACCCAATTTGTACTCACATTTCAGGTCTTAGCAGGCTATGCTGCTTTTGAGGGGCCCTCTTGATGCCCTAACTTATTCGATCATCACCTGTTCTGTTCTTCACTAGACAGCTCGCTAGATGAGGCTAGGTCTGCCCTGTGTCTGGTTCTCAGGTTTGTCTGCCCCTTGGACTCTGGCATCTAATAAACACTCATTAAACATTCTGCTATGTGGTTACTTTTTTGGTTGCTGTGACAAAATACCTGGTAAAAGAAACTTGAGAAGGAAGAGCTTGTTCTGGGTGACAGTTGAGGGTACAGTCCATCCTAGTGGAGAGTCTCAGGTACCCAGGTACAGTGTGCCTGCATCAGGGGTACTGGTTGAATACTGGTCCTCAGTCTCATGGGATGGTGCTGCCTGCATTCAGGACTGTCTTCCTTCCTCAGTTAAACTTCTCTGGAAATGCCCTTAAAGACACTTCCAGAGACTTATCTTGGGTGTTTCTCAGTCTCAAGATGTTGGCAAGATACAGCATCACAGTGAGCACATTCAGGTGTCTCGTCTCATCTGTCCTGTGTCCTGAGCTATCGTCCCTTTCCTCTGACATGCTGTTCTCTTCCCAGGTCTACAGAATGATCACAAGGCTGTGATGAAGCAGGTGGAGGAGGCCCTGCACCAGCTACATGCTCGGGACAAGGAGAAGCAGGCCCGGGACATGGCTGAAGCCCAAGAAGAGGCCATGAGCCGCAGGCTGGGCTCCAACCGCCCCATCCTACCCCAGGCCTTCGCCAAAGTGAACAGTATCAGTCCCGGCTCCCCAGCTAGTATTGCGGTAATCCTGCCTGCTCCCCTAACCCCACCTCTAGGAGTGCTATGAGTTACACTTGCCAGAAGTCCAGCCCATTCTCTCATTCTGTGGCTCTGAATTCCTCTATTCCTTTAACACGTGCTGGCCAGAGCTTGGTGTGCATAGGGTCAGCGCACTGTACTCAGGAAGACCTGTTGTGGGGTAGCTGGGACACAGTGTAGAAGGCAGTCCATGTCTCAAAGAAGAGAGGAGACACTCTTCTTGGAACCATTTTCCCTGGACCCTGAAGACAAAAAAAGAACGAGAAGAGCTTGAAATGAATTCTTCCTTGATAGGTTCTGAGGAGACATCTCTGCAGCATTACTGAGTGGTTGTGCTCACTAAAGGAACAAAGTAGCTTAGAGCTGTGTGTCCAACACTGCAGCCAGTTTCTGACTATTTACTTTTGTTTTTTTGTTTGTTTTTGTTTTTTGCTGGAACTAGCTCTTGTAGACCAGGCTGGCCTCAAACTCACAGAGATCCACCTGCCTCTGCTTCCCAAGTGCTGGGATTAAAGGCGTGCGCCACCACCGCCCGGCTCCTACTATTTTCATAGGCCCTAAAATGAAGCCCTGTGGTCCCAGGCAAGTCACTCGGAACTTGGCAGCTGCCAGTCTTCTTGTCTGGATAGATGTACCTGTTCAGTACACTTCATGGGAAGGCAGTCCTATGGCAGGTGGACTTTTGTGTTTGCTTTCCTTTACTCAGTCCTGTGTTCAGGGTTTATTAAGGGCTCAGTCATATATCTAGGTTTCAGAACATTTTATGGCCAAATAATATCCCATTGTGTGATAGACGTGACTTGTTTGTCTGTTTGTCAGCTAATGTGTGTTTGGATCGCTTCTACTTTGGGGCTGTCACGAATAATGCCGCTGTGAATATCCATGTAGAAGTTTGTATGTGGGCATGTGTTTAAATTGAATACTGTAGCCATCCTCTGGGGAAGTACTACTGTTCTCCATATTTGACCTGTGAAGAAAAGCCACATAGACTTGAAGCTACCTGAGCCAGGACACACAGCTCCTGGGAAGCAGAACTGGATTCTGAATCCAGATCCTACAAGTCGTCTTATGACCGTTAAACCCTCAAGACTCAGGGCTGGAGGGGTGGCTCAGTGGTTAAAATCACTGGCTGCTTCACAACCATCTGTAAGTCTACAGAGTTCTAGGAGATCAGTGCCCTCTTCTGGCCCCCATGGGCACCTGGCACATAAATGGTGTGCAGACATACAAGAAGGCAAAACACCCATACACATTAAACAACAACAACAACAACAACAACAAAAACTTAAAAAAAAAAAGTCACAAGACTGCTGGGTATGGTGACATGCGTTTATGATCCTAACCACTCAGGCAGCCGAGGTAGGATCGTCACAAGTTTGGGCAACTTAGGAAAATCCTGTTTTGAAATTAAAAGTGAACGAAGACTGTGGATGGAGCTCTTGCCTAGGTTGTGTCCCTAGTGCTGTAGACAATTTAAAAGCAAAATCAAGTCCCCAGACTGCAGGCTGCAGCCAGCTCTGTTTCAGTCCCAGCTGCTTCTGCAGCATCGCGCATGTAGCTGCAGCCAGTCTGTGGCAGGTGTCTGAGAGGGATGGGTAAGTGGATGTCGATAATCTTGGGATCTGGAATCAAAGGGCCGCGCTGGGTCTGGCTGACCTTGTCCCTGTGCCTGCTGTTTAGGGACTGCCTAGCGCAAATGTTTGTCTTGTCTAAAAAATTATGCCTACGTTAGCCTGTCTCTTCTTGCCCTTGAACCTGGCTCAGAAACTCCAGAAGGCAGCTTGAGCTTTTCCTGTTGTCCTCAAGGCCTCCATTGGGCGCCCTGGCCACCATTTGCTAGATCTACCTTAAAGGAAACCTCCAGGGTGAGGTGGTTCACTCACCCACTCACCTTCCTGTATGAGAAGTCTAAACCTTTGACCTCTTTGCTTTGAGCTTGCTTTTCTTCCCCTGTAGGAAGTGAGCTCTTGACCTTGTCAAGACATTCAGCCTCTTGGTTTATTTTTTAATCTTCTGTCTCCAGGGCCTGCAAGTGGATGATGAAATTGTGGAGTTTGGCTCTGTGAACACCCAAAACTTCCAGTCGCTGCAGAATGTTGGCAACGTGGTGCAGCACAGCGAGGGGGTGAGTTAGGGGTGGCCTGGCATCTGGGTGCTTCACAAACTGCAGAGGCATGTTGCTCAGTTAGGGGGATGGGAGGGAAGTCCAAGAGGAGCGTACTGCAGATTGAGGGTCTGCTGCTGATGTTTGCTTGCTCAAGTGATGGACCACGAATTCCATCACCAGGGCTCCACCCCCTAGATGACCTCCCGCTAAAGCCCAGTTTCCTGCTCCATCACACCGAGGGGTAGGCTCCCAGCATATGCATCTTCTGGAGGGAGACAAACGTTCAACTCATAGCACTGGGCATAACATTGGTCCAGAAAATGTTAATGGGTTCCTCGCCGCTGACAGTGTTGTCCTTCACGAGTAGTCTGTGCTGTACCCCTCTGCCTGGGAGGCTTTTCCTCCCCTTTTCCACACTTGTCTTTAATCAGCTAAGGCCTCGGTGTGGCCTTTCCCAGTCTCCTTGTCTAACTCCCTCATCTGTGTCCAGTGCCTGTTTGCAGTAACTCTTCTGGAAGGTCTCCGCTTTGGCACAGGCTCCGTTCCCCTGCAGCTGCTAATGGAGCCTCCTTGTCTGTCATTGACTTCTCAAGACCCTAGAATGTTTCCAGCTTCCCACTAGCATGACCATGTGTACATGTGCATGCTTTCTTCTTCTTCTTTTTTTTCTCGAGACAGGGTTTCTCTGTAGTTTTGGAGCCTGTCCTGGAACTAGCTCTTTCAGTTTAGGCTGGCCTCGAACTCACAGAGATCCACCTGCCTCTGCCTCCCGAGTGCTGGGATTAAAGGTGTGCACCACCACCGCCCAGCTCCATGTACGTGCTTTCTGAGGTGGCACCCCTAAAGAAGGGTTACTGGCTCTGAGAGTGTCACTGAGACAGTCTCAGCCTATCCCAGGCAGGCCTGGAGCTCACTGTGTAGCTGGGATGATCTTAACCCTCCTGACTGGTCTAATGTCGTCCTGAGCCATCTCTCCAGCCTGTGGATGTACGTTCTTATTTCTCTGGCACATATACTTCTGGAATTTACTTTGTAATTAGTATGACACACATTGCCAACCCACTTTTTTCCCAAGTGGATAGTAGTTGTCCCAGTAGCATATACTATGATTAATGCTTTACACTGGCACCTTTGTTAATACCAGATATCTTTGTATGTGGGTGGTGTTCTATTTGTTCTGAACCTTTTTGAAATTACTTAAAAGAATCCATTTGTTCCTTGTCAGCTTTCCTTTAACACCGTGCTATAGAGTGAGTGCAAAACCATTTTGTAGGCTAATACCACAGACACTGTCTGTCTAGAGCAGTGGTTCTCAGCCTTCCTAACGCTGCGACCCTTTAATATAGTTCCTCAGGCTGTGGTGACCCCAACCATAAAATATTTTCGTTGTACTTCGTAACTGTAATTTTGCTACTGTTATGAGTTGTAATGTAAACATGTGTTTTCTGAAGGTCTCGACCCACATGATGAGAGCCACTGCTCTAGATGGATAGAAGATTAGCCATCCCTACCTAGCCCTGCTGGTTCTGGCCCAGAGGCTTCTGTGAGGGTTAGCCAGGATGTTAGCAGAGACCATAGCCACCCAAAGGCTTCAATGAGGCTGTGAATCCACCTTCATCCCATGGTTGGCCTGAGGCTTCAGGTACTGACTGTGTGGCTTCTTACCTTAGGTGAAGAGAGCTGAGAGGAGGCCACAGGACTTTTTTATTTTTTTTTAACCCAATCATGCAAAACACACAGAGTCATGTCTCCTTACCTGTCGGGAGTGCGTTGCTAGTTCCGACCCACAGTTGGGGAGAAGGGAATTGGACTTGCTGAAGGGAGACATGTGAGAAGATGTTGGGGCGTGTTATTAACCTGCCCAGAAGGTCTTCCCTGCTCGGCCCTTGCCCACTTGTCCAGTTTCTGTAATTCATCTGTCGCCGTCTGTGAGGTCTGTGGCAGAGTAGATGACTCGCTCACCCTCACCTCTAGCTCTCAGATTTTTCTTCCAGTTCTTTTTTTGTTTTGTTTTGTTTTGTTTTTCGAGACAGGCTTTCTCCATGTAGCTCTGGCTGTCCTAGAACTCACTCTGTAATCGTACTGGCCTTGAACTCAGAGATCCTCTAGCCTCTGCCCTGGAAGTACTGGGATCAAAGGTGTGTGCTGCCATGCCTGGTTACAGATGTATTTGTAAACATGCCCTGTTAGATTCTGGAAGAGGATGTTTATACAAACAAGTTCCTGGCCGTTTTCTAGCTTGGGACCTTCCAGGAGGCTCATGCATCTCCTAGCAGAGTGCTGTTGGCTGTCTCTAGAGCGTAGCTTCCTATAGCAAGACCAGCTTTTCCAGCACTCAGGCCTAGGAGTTTCGATAGCTCCATGTAATTACATCACTACCAACACAGTAAACATGCAGCGCTGTGGACCCCAAAGTAACTCAGTTTCCTTGGTAACTAGTTCTTCCCTTCACTCAATCACTGAGCAGTGCTCTGTTGAAAGTTTTTATTTTCCAGAATGTTACAGAAATTAACCATAGTGCAGCTTTTTTTTTTAAAAAAAAAAAAACTTGTCCTAGACAGGATCTCACTACATATTTCTTGTCCTCAAACTTGCCATGTAGATCAGGCAGACTGCTCTTCAACTCACAGAAATCCTCCTGCCTCTGCCTACCGAGTGCTGGTGGTATTAAAGGCGTATGCCACCAACAAAACTGGCATACTGGTTTGTATTTTGTTTGTTTGTTTTTTAAGTATAACTGTTTATAATAAACTAGTTCAGCTACAGGAATGTAGCGAGTTCTCTGTTACAACATGGATACTGAAAACATAATTCAAAGTGAAAGGCGTAGCACAAGGCCATCTAATTCCATGCAGTCAGACTGTCTAAAAAGTAGATGCACGAAGCAGAGAGATAGGAGAGATTGGTGGGTACTGGGGCTGGAGAAACGAGGATGGGGACTGACTGCTGATGGTCTTTTGGATGATGCAAACATTTTGCAGCTAGATAATGGTGCTGGTTTATAACTCTCTGAGTATAGGAAACTCACTGAGCCATATACTTTATTATATGCAAATTGTGTCTCAGTAATAAATATAATGCCTATTTATCTTACAAACAAAATCACATTGTGCAAAAATGTTTAAAGTAAAAATCAAAGCCCTGTGTCTCTTCCTCCCTCAATATCTCCCCTGTGTGTGCCCCCTTCTGGACTGGGGGCTGGGGTCCAGCAGGGAACAAAAGGCATTGATGGAGAGCACATTATGGGGGCAGACATCAATCAATAATCCTAGGCATGCAGTTTTACACCCTGACAAGTGTTAGAAAAGGCAGCACAGGAAGGCTGGAGGAAAGCAGTGTGCTCCCTGATTTAGTTTGGGGTTGAAGGAGAGTGTTCAGAAGGATGGAGCCTTGGTGTGTACAGAAGTTGATCAGGTAGGGTGGCCACCAGAGGAGCCTTCAGGCTGGTTCAGAGGCTGAGAGGGCAGGAAGAGGAGAGCAACCAGAGGATGTTGTTGGAGCTCAAACCAGGAGAACGGAGAGAAGGGCAGCGGGTGGAGCAGGGAGATGACCAGGTGTCCGGCCACTCAAGGCCAGCTTTGGAGCACCTCACAGTGAAAATTAATCGCCTTCTTTTCCTGGGTACAACAGGAGCTGCTGTACCTCCCAAGCTGGGGAGAGTTTGTCTTAGAAATTTCACTGGTACTAATTAGAGAGCAGGTTTGGGGGCAGTTTGTAGCACCTGGGGCTGTGTCCTAATATGGTCTCAAATAGGGCCCAGGGGTTAAACACACGAACCTGGGGGACATTCTTACTCAAATTATCACTCTACTCCCTACCACTGTGTTTTGCCTCCCACCGCTTTGAAGTTGCACACAGCCCCTTAATGCAAGCTTCAGGAACCCATCCAGCTAGGAATCCAGCTAGGAGCCCATGCTCTATAATTTCTTATAGGTCAGGAAGTGGCTTTTCAGCTTGATTCCATTTTGAGTGTTACGGAAGCTGAGGCCAGAGTGACCTTATTTGCCTTTCAGAAGCCCCTGAATGTGATGGTGATCCGCAGAGGGGAGAGACACCAGCTCAGACTGACGCCCACACGCTGGGCAGGAAAAGGACTGCTGGGGTAATGATCTGCTTCATTCCTTCACGGCACAGTAGCGGTGGAGCCTCTTAGATGAGGCTGCAGGCAAGGGGCAGCGAGTCCTCAGGTTGCCTAAGAGTCTGGTTCTCTTATTACCTGAGCATCATCTTTAAGAGGAAGAAAAAGGGCCGGTGGGAAGGCCCCGCAGGTAAAAGTACTTTCTGCCAAACCCAGTGGCCTGAGTTTGACCCTCAGTAGCCACATGGTGGAAGGAGAGACCTGACTGCTGCGAGTTGTTCGTGGCACACACTCTCAGACTCTCTTACGTACACAATGAATAAATGGAAAATACAGTTTTGGGCTGGAAAAATGGCTCAACAGTCAAGAGCACTGGCTGCTCTTTCAAAGAACCTGGGTTCAATTCCCAGTACCCACGTGGCAGCTCAGAGCTACCTGTAACTCCAGTTCCAGGGAATCTAACTCTCATACAGACATAAATGCAGGCAAAAAGGCCAGTGCACATAAACTAAATAAGTCATTAAAAAATAATGACAAAGTTTCTTTAAAAAGAGAAAAGGTGTTGATGAAAAACCCGGGAGGCTTGCTTCAACTACTGGTCCTGCTGGATGGAGCCGTCAAGCGTGACCCGTGTCTGTGTTTTCTTTCCCAGCTGCAACATTATCCCTCTCCAGAGATGACTGTCCCCAGGGACCTACAAGAGAGCTGCTGCAGCCGGGCCCTGCTCTGGGTCTGGTAGGGACTTCCTCATTCTCCTCCATCTCTGAAGAGAGCGGGAAAAGCCTGAGCATCAAGTGGAGGACCTGCTCTGGCCTTCGGTGTAACCTCTCTGGAGTGAGGCATTAAAAACATGATTTGTGCCTAGCTAAGTCTTGTGCGAAATAGGCAATAGCCCTATCTAGGGATTCTGTACATTAACCCAGTGAGTTGGAATGACTGGCAGGTAATGATCCGACTTTATTTTATTTGAGACAGTCTCACTGTGTAGCTCTGGCTCCCTGAACTCACTGTGTAGACCATTCTGGCCTCGAGCTGACAGAGATCCTCCTGCCTCTGCATCCTGAGTATTGGGGTTAGAGGTATGCACCACCATGCCTGATTCGACTCTGAGGGATATTTCTTATACGTACATAATTTTTATTTACGTTTTTGAGAATACCTGCATATAGTGTCTTCCTCTCCTATTTAATTACACCTTCAGGCCCTCCCAGACCTCACTCATGTCCACTCCTAGCTTCATGGCCTTTTTTTTTTTTAATAAATAATCTACTGAGTGCAATTCGTGTTGCCCATATACTTATGGATGTGGGGTCTTCCACCTACCGGGGATCTCACCTCTAACAGCCCCAGGAACTTGAGTGCCCCTCCCCCCTTTTTGAAGCAGTGTCTTATGTAGCCAGTCCATCCTCAGATTCGCCCAGGATGGTCTTGAACTTCTAGTCCTTCAGCCTCCAACCTCTAAGTGCAGTGTGCCCTGCCTAGGCATTTCCTCTTTGGGGATGGGGTAACCCTAGGGTGACCCTGGCTTCTTGTATAGGTTTTCTCTTTTCAAATAAACCTAGTTTTATAGTGGTAATTTTGACCATTGTACCATCCCACCTGGATTTCTTATGCGCTTCAAACCAAGCTCAGATGGAGTTGGAAAGAAAGTTGGGCAAAGCAAACTGGTTCCTGGCAGTCAAGTTGATTCTTGTGCTGGAAGCCGAATCCTAGAGCTCATACTCTGGGCGAGCGTTCTCCTGTGGGGCTACACATCTTCCAGCCCCTGGCGTCGGCAGCTGGCCAGCATCTCTGCTTGGAGCGGTCCTACCCTGGGTAGCGAAGGCGCTAGAGTTCTATGCATGCATCCTCTGAAGTTGGCTCTGTATATTCAGAGTTCCATGAAGGGGTTAGCAAAGGTCAGGAGGCCTCACAGGTTACCCGGGATGATGATGGCTTCCTCTTCAGTGACGTGCTGGAGAGCAACAGACTCCCTCTACTTCTGTAATAAAAGACCCTGCAGATGGCTCCCGATTTGGCTTTTTTTTTTTTTTTTTCCAAGATAGGGTTTCTCTCTGTAGCTGTCCTGGAACTTGCTGTGTAGAGCCTGCCTCTGCCTCCCTAGTGCTGGGATTAAAGGCCTGCACCACAGCCGCCCAGCCTGACTTGATTTTTATAATTGAGCCCTGGCCTTGCTATGGGATCGGCAGCTTGAGAAGTTAGGGTGTGCTTGAGGTTGCCAAGGTGAACATGTTTATTTTCTGTCTTTTAAGGGGTAAAGTTGGTGTGGGTGAGTCCTAGTGACCTTTTCTTTGTTTTCCCATGTGCCCCACTTATTTTCCCCAGTTGCTGCTTTGAGGTCTGGCACGTTCTGAGGTGAAGCTCGTGTCCTTGGGTGGGATCGCTCAGGACGGAGGCAGTCAGTATTGGCGTGTGCTTCCCGCCTTGAGTCCTCATATTCAACCTGAAAGCCTCCCCCAAACTTCTTGAGCCAGCCAGCCTTATGTATTCCTCGCTTGTAGCCAGACGTGCTGTGTTTACCAGTGTTTGCTGTTTAAATTGTAGGCTATGATTCCAAGTATTTCCCAGCCTTTCTAAGCCCTGCACTATAATAAACACAGCTTGCACCATTCAGTTCATCCCTCTTGAGATCTGCATGTGATCACCAGCCAGTGCTGGGGATGGCGGCGCACTTGTGGGAGAGTCATCCATGTTTCCTAAAGTGACAGTAGCCAAGTGTTTCCTGTGGGCCTCTCCTTGGACAGGCCAGGACAGCCACCTTTGGGCTCTTCTCAGAGTGGCTGTGACATGAATAACCTAATGGATTTAACCAAGGTGAGTTTGCAGAAACTTTGGGATAACAGAAAGATCATAACTCCAATCCCAGTTAGCTAAATCCCTCTGCATGCCCTGCCCTGGTGAGAAGTGGACACACACACCCCGTCTGCAAGGCCGCTGGGTTTACTTACAGGGGCGTCCCCCTACAACAGTAATCGCCCCACCAAACTGCGGATGGATGTACAGCTGGCACGCAGCTCCACTCGAGAGTCTCCTTTCCCCCAGTAAAGTCTTACATAGCCCAGGCTGACTGAACTTGTCTTCGTCTTCCTAGTTTTGGGTTCACAGGTGTGTTATGCCACACCTGGCCAGGAGGATGCTCCAGGGTTTGTTCTTTTTTTTTTTTTTTTT